CCCCAAAACCCCAAAACCCCAAAACCCCAAAACCCCAAAAGGAGTAAATTTATTAGAAATCACTATATTCGATAATCAAAATGGAAAACGCAGTTGCTGAAAAGATCAGAAGTTTCTATAACAAGCCAAAGAAACAGAGATTATTCAGCTTGTCTCCGCCCAAGAGCGCACTTCCCACTCTCAAGGAGGTCAAGTCGAGGTAAGAAGCATGATGGCAGGAATTCTCTGGGCTACTTTAGTCTTGAAATTTTGTCTTGATTTATTATATTAATTACTTACCTTTGGTGATTAGGAGACTCAAGGAATTTGATGTCCAACAATGGATGAAGAAAAGAAGGAGCAAGCTCAAATTTAGTGAAAATAAGTAAGCGCCCACTTCTCTCCATATCTTCTTACCAAGTTCAGGTACCTTTCGTAGTTTTCTCCTTATGTTTCTTCCTACGACCACATGAAATATTACAGTAATAGAAATTTAACAGAGCCAAGGCTCTGGTTGATCTTTAATTGTTGCTAGTAGAAAAAGTGCTAATAATTGCTGAAATTCTAGTAATAGAGGATATGGGGAATTGTGTATACTCATAGCTTTAAATACTTCTCTTAAGGTTGTGATAGTGGGTGGATTAGGAAGAGGTTTAGGATTTGAAATTTATGATATGAAATTAGTCCAATAAGCCATACTCATCTATTCGATCCCATTTTTAGGAGTTGGTTGAATGATAGAGTAAGGAAAGGGATGGACTGGCTATTACTTTGCTGATCGTTAGCATATGTGCTTATTTTGAAATAGCAACGAGCTTGGAAATGACGAAGGATCAGTAGAGGAACTTTCTTCCTGGAGAACAAAGAGGTAAGAATGAATAGTTAATTTTCATAGCAAAGAGTCTTTGCACAGTAAGGTTAGTGCAAATCAGAGCAAAGAGCTTAAACCCTCAGATGTTGTTGGGAAAGTCAAAATTGAAACATTCAAAATGGAGATCAAGACTTACCTAAATTGTACTCATAAATAAATTGATGGTTGCTGATCTGAGCAAAATGAAGAAAGGAGATGAAGAGTATCTTAAAAGCCGTACGTCCTAGTACTTGATCATATTGAAGATCCTCTTCAATCAGAATTTGTTTTTGTCTTGTGTTTTCTCTATGATCATTCTGAAATTTTATGAAGTCTTTAATTAGACTTCACTATATTATTAAAATATCTGAGGGTATCCATCTAATTTACGTTTTACCTAACTTATATAGTGAACTCCAAAAAGAATAATAGAAGAGGTGTACTATCACCTGGAGTATACAGGCCTTCTAAATTACTCGAAGAGAACACAAGCCGGGCTAGAGGGGCTCTCAGTTCTATGGCCCCGCATGTAAATGGTAAGCTTCCAAGTTCACCCAATATAGTAATCATGAACAATCAGAATGTGGTAAATATTTTAAGTTTTGGAAATTTTTGAATTTCTGATTAATGTTATTAATAAAACACTAGAGTTATTTGGTTCGTACGGCCTCTAGCTGACATAGCCTTTGAGGAGGTTCACAGTTACGATTTTAGCCTAAATTTTTAATTTTGAGTATTTCTAACCTATTTCATAGCGGAAGCGAAAAGAAGTCGTGCTTAAGAAGAAGTAAGTTATTTTAGTTACTGTGGCTATTTCATCTGCCATTTCATGCCAGATTTGATTAAGCCTAGTCTTTCAAGAATTTTTCCTTAACGAACCTTGTATAGTCCTCAGTTGAAAAAGTTTATCATTGAGAGGAAGGCCAAGAAACAAAAGTAACCTCTAGCTAATCTTTAGTCCAGCTCTGAATAGGATAGTCAAGTCTCCGTGCCCAATGAAATCCAAGAAGCATAAATCATACTTCAAGGACAACATTAAGCTGCTCGATAGAGAAAAATTGAAGAACATTAACCCTGCCTCTAAGAAGTAAGAGTCTCTATTAATCACATAGCATATCGATTCTACGCACTGAGAATTTGAAATCCGATTTTAAAGGCAAGATTAAGGTAAATTTGCACCCTTACTTTTATAGAGCCCTAGAAAACTTCATCTCAAGATAGATGATGGACGTATGAAAAAGTATCTGAAATCCATCCTTCCAGAGCTTCCGTCTCATAGAGGTACTTGCAAGCTAATTTTGTAGAGGAAATAGCGAAAAATAGACCCAAAATAGTCATCGAAGAGAACTAAGGTACTTTAGTACTAAAGTAATATTCCATTATGATAATATCTCCATAAATTATATCCTTCAATATTTTTTCAATGGTTTGGGGTTTTGGGGTTTTGGGGTTTTGGGGTTTTGGGG